AATCTGAAATCGAAGGTTTCATCCTTGCTGCACAGGACCAATACTTGTTAATTAGAGATTATCAAGCACATATACTAAAAAATTGTGTTAGCACAAAATGCAGATTCTGTGATAAATATCCAGAAACAATTGATCATCTTGTATCAGGTTGCACGGTACTGGCACCAACTGAATATAAAACACGGCATGACAGAGTGGGCCAATGTCTGCACTGGAAAATCTGCAGCTTCTACGGAAAGGAAACTGAAAGAAATTGGTATGAACACCACCCAGACCCGGTTACGGAGATAGGACCTGTAACAATTTTATGGGACTACACAATACACGCAAACAGAACAATCAAAGCTAATCACCCTGAAATCGTGATTAGAGATCGCAAAGACAAAATGTGCCTCCTTATTGACATGGCAGTCACTGCAGACTGCAATGTATCTTTGAAGATCTTCAAAAAACTATCAAAATACAAGGACCTTTAAATCGAAATGTAAAAATGTGGCACATGAGGACATTAACAATTCCAGTTGTAGTTGGAGCCCTCGGATTGATTGGAAAAGATTCCAGTAGACCCAGTGAAGGAATTCCTGCTAGGCCATGTCTTAAAGAAATACAAAAAATTGTTCTCACGAGTACAACCCACACCTTATGTATGTAAAATATGTTTTTTTTTAATTGCTCAGTGGAAGATGTCATGATGCCATTTCTGACCTTAGACCTCTGGGCGGGACCCGGAAAGAAATGAGTACACACCAGAAATCAAAGGAAATAAAACAACAACAACAACAACAATAATAATAATAATAATAATAATAATAATAATAATATACCATCATCCAAGGAATTAATACTTGGATAGTCTCTCTGTTACGCTGTTCTGCAGCATTCTTAGATCGGAATGATACGGAATTAGACGAGATGGATAGAATAACACGTAAGTTGATGAATATGCATCCAATGAATCCAAATAGTGATGTCGAAAGGCTGTATATTCCAAAAAAAGGAGGAAGGCAAAGGGTTAATGAGTGCTGAAGAAGTTGTGTTATTGGCTGTTCTGGGACTTTAAAATTATGTTAATATTTCACATGAATTATTTCTGACAGCTACACGTAGAGTGGATGGTTATTTGGAAGCGCAAAATATTTTGCCAGTGACTGTAGCAAAGAAGCAACATAATGAGAAGCGGTATGACAGGTTAAAAGAAAAGAAGCTCCAGATTTTGGGGGAATTGTTCGACCTGAGAGGTGACTTTGGGTGAAATATGGGTTTCTAAAGAGACAGAGTCATTCGAATTTCCAGCCCAAAAGCAGACCACCAGAATGAATGCAATTACGGTCAGGATATAAAGATCATAAGAAGAGAGCAAATGCAGGATGTGTGGACAGGCTGAGGAGAAAGTTAACCACATACATGGTGAATGTCCCAAGTTGGCATAGAAGGAGTATAAGCGAAGAAATTGGATTGGTAGGAGAATCTAGTGGGAAGTATGCCGTAAGTTTAGCTTCAGTGTTAAAGAGAAGTGGTAGGAACATCAGCCAGAGGCAGTGGTAGAAAATAACGTCACAAGATATTATGGTATATCTCAATCCAAATAAATCATGTCATCGAAGCACAAAGACTCAACCTTATTTTTATAGATGAGGAGAATAAGTATGAAATTATTGATTTTGCTGTTCAATATGATACAAGAGTGAACTTCAAAGAAACTGAAATGATAGAAAAATACCAGGATCTTGCTAGAGAACTGAAGAATCTATGGAACATGAATGTAGAACTAATTCCTGTAGTAATGAGTAGGCTTGGAACACCTAGAAAATTGCAAAATACTTATGGAGAGTTGGAATTGAGACCAAGATTGAAGATTTTCAGAAAACCGCCATCATTTACTATGCAAGGATTGCTTGAAAAGTGAGGAGTCTTGCTGACATCATGCCTCACAGAATTTCCATTGACTACATCAATGTCTGACACCAACATAATAATCTACTATTGTTATCTTGTTCCCCCTGCCTTTGTGGTTGAAACAGGACCGTCACGCACGACCACAACTGAACTCACTACAACGGACAGAATTCTCTACAGGCGTTTACAATGGCAACTATTAATGACAGCTCTACACATAAAATTATGTCTTATGAAACAATATTTTACAACTCTGGATAAACAGTCTACATTCTTGAAGTACATTTGTATTTTTTTGTTCTTTTAAGTAGTTTCGATTAAGTATCAAAGCCAGGGTCTTCGTCGGACAAAAGATCTTACAATGCGAAGAATTCCCCCAAGAATCTCACAAGAAAAGAGAAACCATCTTTTTTAAAACGATGAACAATCCCGAAGAATGACGATAGTTAAAATAAAAGCGGTGTTAATGAACAAAAAACAACAAAAAAATAACAAAAAAAAACAATGTATCAAAAGGACTGATGTTTTATATTATGTATTTTATTTAAATGAACATGCAAATGGCGCAGTAAGAAAGTTGACAGGAACTGAAGCCAAAATCTAGATCTAAAATAGGAAACCTTTTAATATGCAATGATGCGAAAAAGGCCTCACAAAAAGCAACACAAAGAACACATAGAAACTGTACAAAGATAATAAACAATTGTTTTTAGTAAGAGTTGCAGTGAAATCGCTTTCTGCGCCCAAATTTCCTTTAGGCTGGTAGAATATTTTTCATGACATCTTGAGATATCGTTGAACAAAAAACTAACGTAAAGGGAAAAAGATGTGAGAAGAAAATTGGAAAAGTGAGTTGAAGTGGAAGAAAGCTGAGTCAAATCGGGATCAAAAACTGATCGTTATTATCATTTATGTACCGAATAAATTCAGGATGTGGGCGATCATGGCTATCCACGACTTCCTGATTCTCGAAGCTCTAAGCAACTTTTGTTTCTTTACCACTCCTCCTTGCTCTCCCTCTGCTCATTGTTTTCCGCCTTACCTGGATCCGTCCTGCGAGTATTAAATTTTCCAAACCGTCCTTCCTTGAAAGATTTTACACAGATATTTCGAGCCATCTTGCCAGATAATTAAAAAAGAAAATTAGAGAAAAGGATTATGATTTACACTATTTACATTGTTCGGACTGTTGTCCTCATCTTTGTTACCATATTCACGAAGTTTCGGCCGTTGTACGCTCCGACAATCTTCAGGATCTGTCTGTATTTCTGAGATGAGGGATTGTAACAATTTACACTACATTGTTCGGACCGTTGTACTCATCTTTATTGCCGTATTCACGACGTTTCAAACGTTGTACGCTCCGACCATCTTCAGCATCTGTCTATATTTTTGAGATGAGGTATTGTAACTATTTACATTATTTATATTTTTCGGGCTGTTGTCCTCATCTTTGTTGCCATATTCACTACAGATTCTTGGACGTTGTATGCTTTGGTCTTCTTCAGGTGATTGGAATTTCGAACCGAAACCTTTATTTCGTTCATCGGGGGAGATTGTTCTAGTTCATTCTCCATATTTTTGGTATATCGGATCCATACCGATCCTTCAATATCTGTTTATATCTCTGAGATGAGATATTATGATTATTTCAGAACTTAAAGAATCTACCCCGGTGGACGAAATAAAGGTTTCGGTTCGAAATTCCAATCACCTGAAGAAGGCGGGAGCGTACAATGGCTGAAACGTTGTGAATATGCCAACGAATATGAGGATAACAGTCCAAATAATGTAAGTAAGTTTTATTTTAATTTTACACTAGGTTCACCCTTTACAAGGCCCGTGCGCCACTCGAGGTAGAGGGTTACGGTTGGAGGCAATTTATAAGTCCCATAAATTCACACACAGATGGACCAGTGAATAAAGGCGTTGGTTAGAATCCAGTGGCTAAACCCAAAGAGTTGTGAGTTCAATACCAGGCCACAGCAGTGGTGAACCAAAACTTGGAGAGTTGAGTTAAAGGGAAATAACTGAGACATCCGGAAGAGGCATGGCACGTGGAACTAGAACAATCTACACCGGTGGACGAAAGAAAAGTTCGGTTTGAAATTCCAATCACCCGAAGAAGTTCGTAACGTCCTACGATCGAAACGTTGTGAATATAGCAATGAAGATGGAGATAACAGTCCGAGTAATGTAAATAATCATAATATCTCATCTCAGAGATATAGACAGATATTAAAGCGAATTTTCTAAAGAAATTCATCCATTTTAGCTCATTTGGTCAGTGTGTACCTGATATAACGTTAAAAAGGAGTTTTCTTTTCGACATTTACGATTATCATTTTCACAAATCGACTCCCAAATATGATCTCCCTTCATGTCTGTTTGAATTTCTAAGATGAGGGGTTATCATTGTTTACACTATTTTTGTATTCGGACTATTGTCCCCATCTTTCTTGTTGTTATCACAACGTTTCGGCCGTTGTGCCCCTCCGGCCTTCCTTACGTGTATAGCGAACTGGGTAACCTACGGCGCCCATCTCACATGTGGGCGGCCCTCAACGTCACGAATTTCTCACGGACTCCAAGAAATCGGTGTTCGAACGAGGTAAAAGCCAAAAAAGCAAGCTGAGTAGTGTTGTCACAGATGACAGAAAATTGCGACACAGAAAACCGAAGGCACAGAGATATAGCGGAAGTTATCTTTCACAAACTAAGCAAAGTATTGGAAAATATTAGAAACAAAGAAAAGAGTGCTGAACTTTTTCTTTTTTTTTTTTTAATAATGATGTTCACTCTATACGAGACCCAAGAGCCACTCGAAGTAGAGAGATACAGAGTAAGAGGCAAAGTTTATGGGGTTATTTGGAGAAGATAATGGTTGACCCTAGACTTGAAAAGGTTATGACTGTAGTGATCGGGAAAGCATCATCTTGGGAATCGGTTCCACAGAGCAATAGTTCGCGGGAAGAAGGAATTTATATCTCACCAATGGATTACGAAGGGAATTAGGGTGGTTCACTAAAGTGTGCGTGGAATGGAGAGTCTTAGCCGTGAAGGTTAGTACTGGTGGAACTACGATGTAATATTTAATCTCCAATATGGCAGTAGATGTTCGACAGACAGAATTATTTTCTTTCTTTCTTTCTTTCTTTCTTTCTTTCTTTCTTTCTTTCTTTCTTTCTTTTTATTCTTTCTTTCTTTCTTTCTTTCTTTCTTTCTTTCTTTCTTCTCTTTTTATTCTTTCTTTCTTTCTTTCTTTCTTCTCTTTTTATTCTTTCTTCTCTTTCTTTCTTTCTTTATTATTTCTTTCTTCTCTTTTTATTCTTTCTTTCTTCTCTTTCTTTCTTTCTTTCTTTCTTTCTTTCTTCTCTTTTTATTCTTTCTTTCTTTCTTCTCTTTCTTTCTTTCTTTCTTCTCTTTCTTTTCTTTTTATTCTTTCTTTCTTTCTTCTCTTTCTTTCTTCTCTTTCTTTCTTCTCTTTTCTTTCTTTCTTTCTTTCTTTCTTTCTTTCTTTCTTTCTTTCTTTCTTTCTTTCTTTCCAAGCGTTATGTTTCTATTCATTCTTTTATTTCTTTTTAACGTTTTTTCTTTGTTATTCCCTTCATTTTCCCCTCCCTTCTCTTTTACCATTTTTTCTTTATTTCTCTATTTATGTTTTTCTTAAGATATTTTTGCTTTCTTGCCACAGTAAACACATTTTTTTAATTAATTAATGCATTTCTTTTTTTTTTTTTTTTACCAAAGTTAATTCCATACTCCGCCCAATGGTACGTCAAATTGAATAATATAAAAGGAAAAAAAGAGGAAAGGAAAAATAATATGCATGTTTAATGCTTGTGTGTGTAAAAGTGAGTGAGAGAGAAAGAAGAAATATATCTACCAGTTTTATGAGATGTAACTAATTACAGCGCTTATGATCTACCATACATGACTTTTCCGCTTCGGCAACCACTCCGCACTTGTTTTATTTTTTTTTCTCCCTTTCCTCCGTAATGTTCTATTGCTGGTGGGCCCAGGTTCGTTCCACTGTGTAAGCCGGCGTACATATGGCTGTCTGTAACTACGATCGTCTCCAGTTATACTAAAACCGCATTCTTGTTTCGAAGGATAAATCATCTGCTTTCCGCGAGAATCGACAAGCGTTCGCACTGCCATCGTTGAATCGTGGCTCGCAAAGACTGGGTCACACGTATGATGGACTTGAGAACGAGGCTTCCAGATTTGGTTACTTTTTAAAGCGCAGCGGGACTCAGTTTTTAATTTCAATACTTACAATTTTGGGGAGCTACTTTCTATAAATGGGCTAATATTAATAACGAAGAAATGTCGAGTCAAAATTTATTAGATGAATGCTTTCAAAATATGACAAAATTCACACTTTATAGCTCAATCTTTTGATTCAATTTACAAGCATAATGCTATCTCATGAGGAATGATAGAAATAAAGGTATTAAAAATTTTAGTTGAGTTGTTTGGTTATACAAGTTAGTCCATCTTGTAGGGTTATTTAACGTTGAAATCAAACGTATATATATATATATATATATATATATATATATATATATATATATATATATATATATATAATGGTCAGAGTTGAATCAGACCAGGGAACGGTAGTATTAAAAAGTGCACAGTACATGTGAGACAAAAAATAAGTAAAAAATTAAAATAACATGTAGAGCTTTTTTAAGTTTAAAAATCAGGTCAATTAAAATACGTGACCACGGGTTCGACCTGCCAGTCTCGTTGGTAAGACGATAAACTACATCCGCGTCCTGGGTAAGATGATAAACTACATCCGCGTCCTGGGTAAGACGATAAACTACATCCGCGTCCTGGGTAAGATGATAAACTACACCCAACAGCAAGGCCTCTGATCAGGAGGTTTTAAGGAGCGTGGAACCATCTCTTAATTGCTGGTGTTTCCAGGTCCACCCTGACCCAGGGTGCACCTGTTTGTGTTCCAGCTATGGGAAAATAGTTGACCCCCCCAAACTGGGGTCAAAACATTATGAAAGTGTAAAAATAGGTTTTAATACCAGCAATACATTTTTGTAAAAGATTATTACCAGCAATGAAGTTTTGAAGAAAAAATTATTACCAGCAATACATTTAAAAAAAAGAAATATTACCAGCAATCCATTTTTGTAAAAAATATTACCAACAATATATTTAAAAAAAAATATTTCCAGCAATACATTTTTGAAGGAAAAAATATTACCAGCGATACATTTTTGAATCAAAAAAATATTACCAGCAATGCATATATATATATATATATATATATATATATATATATATATATATATATATATATATTACCAGCAATAAAAATCTTGTCGGCGTTAAATAACCCATTGAGGTTGATATACCATAAAATAAAACAAACCAAACGAAACCAAACCAGCAATACATTTTTGAAGAAAAAAAATATTACTAGCAATAATAATCTTGTCGAAATTAAATAACTCATTGAGGTTGATATGTCGTAAAACAAAACAAACCAAACAAATTTATACTTAGCTAGATAGATATAAATAGACTGGAAAGATAGATATAAATAGACTGAGATAGATAGATAGATAGATAGATAGATAGATAAAAAAAATATTACCAGCAATAAAAATCTTGTCGGTGTTAAATAACCCATTGAGATTGATATGCCATAAAACAATATATATCTTTCAACCATTGATTTTGTTAACTTTTCCTCTGTTTTGACTTGAATATTACTTCCAGTATTTTTCATTATTTCTTAGAGATCTTCTATAATTCAATATTATTCTACATCCCCATTTACATTTTAAAAATTTAGCTTTATTATTTAACATCGGCATCCGATTTTTCTTTTTATCAATATAGGTTATAGAATGTCAATGTCTCCATTCACATAAATACAGTAGTAAATCCAGTGTGTTTGCCTGCAGTTGGAAATTCGTCTCCATCTGCGCTGGTCAAACTCTCTGCCTCCGGGCAGGGCGGATCCCCAGACAAGGCTATGTCGAAGGGCATAATCTCGTCTCGGGAAACAGCTACCCGATCCCGTTTTATACGGGGTCTACGGAGAATTTTTGGTCGAGCCTACGGACTCGGATACCCCACATTAAATTCGGACTTGTGTCACATCTGACCACGTGGGGTTGTTGGTAGGTATCCTGCAGTTGGATATTCATTGTGGAATTCACTTGACTCACTTCTAGCAGTTGACTACTTTTTCTACGCGCAGCTGGCTAATCTTATATGTGTTGTTCGTGTCCTAAGTATTATCGTTCATTACCAACTTTCATTTGATTATTCTGTTCAGTAACCTTCTCTAGGTTACAACAGTGATAAAGCCATTAAAATGTAATGCAGTGAACGAAACTGAGAAAACGTTATTGAGAGGAAAGGACAATAAAAGAACAGGTTTCAAAAATACAGAAAATGACGATTGACTTTGCATTTAAATGTTTGAAGAAAAATAATTTTTTTATTGAAAGAACTCTTATAGGCATAATCTTTATGTTTCCAAGACGTGGATTCTGAAATGTTCTATTTTCTAGTAATGATCAGACAATATGTAGTGCATTATATCGATATAAATTATTTTAATTAGACATTTCTTATGCGTTTATGCCAGGTTCCAAGGCATATTTTAAGAGAGTGCCATTTTTTACCAATGAAAAAACTCGAATCTGTTCACAAGTCTCAGGTTGTACAAGATGATGCATTATAAGAGAAAACAACATCCGTCGTGGATCAGTTCTCAGTTTCATTTCTCTTATGAGATAATAAATAAATAAATAAATACAAATCTTTCAACATTCGCGCCTTTTTAAAGCTATTTATAAAGAGATAGTTCTTTTGAAAATAATAATAATAATAATAATAATAATAACAACAACAATAACAAAATCATGGATACAAACAAACTCCCAGAATAATAACATCAGAAAACAAATAAACAATATCGTTAACAGGAAACAGACGACATCTTCACAGCTTAAGTTTGTAGTTAGTTCAAATATAAAGCGTAAATTCTTTCGTTTCCGAAATAAAATAAATATGCGTGTGTGTGTGTGTGTGTGTGCATTATAAAATGTACACACACACACACACACACACACACACACACACACACACACACACACACACACACACACCGGTAAAGACGACAGCCTCTTCCCCACAAAAATCAAGCAAGAAAAACGAAAACAAAAAACGAAAGAAAAAATCGAAACAAACAAAAAAGTAACAAAGAAAAAAAAAGAAGCAAAACAGGAAGAAAAATCCAGGTTCTTAAAACAAACAAAAAACAACAACAACAAAAAAAAATATCCAACTCCATTAAACATCAAACAGACCCATTTTCAGAGTTTCATCTTCGTTGATGTTGTTTTATTTATTTATTTTGGGGGAGGCGATACATAAAGAAACGTTAAAGAGAAAAAGGGGTTTATGTTCTAATCGCTGTTTATTTTATCCACGAAAGAGACAGTTTTATGAGGGAGGCGTTTGGTTAAGTAAACCTTAACAGGCAATTTCTTTTCTCTTTCCCACCATTTTTTATTTACCTTTTTCTTTTTTCTTTTCCAACGAAAGGGCGAGGAGCCAAACGGACTTTTTCTGGTTTCATTCCACTGATCCATACTTGCAAGTGCAAGGACAGTAACGAACTGGAACTGAGGTACACAAATATTTTTCTAGACATATCCACGGCGTAGTGGTTAGCAAACTAGTTTTGCTGACCACCAAAACAATAATGTGGTTCTCATTAGGATTCACACACTTGTGGCCTTGTGTTGATCTAAGCTAAGCGTTGTAAAAAGAAAAACTTTCTCATTGTAGAGCAATAGTTAGCAAACTACGAATTTAGGTAATAATGGCACAGGTAAAAATAGCACAGGTAAAAATCGCACAAGCAAAAATGGCACAAGTGGAAAAAAATGTCACAGTGGTCGGGAGCAGCAGTAGTAGTCCATTCTCCAGCATGTGGCAGATCTTCAAGGCTTTCTGGTAATTGTGGATAGAGTTTTGCTCTTTGTTTACGCAAAATTTTTTTTCTATGATGTCGTCTCTTGGAAATAACGCATTTGCCTCAGCTGCTTAGTCCTCAAAGGTTATTGCTATAAATCTGGCTAGGTTGATCTTCTGTTTCTGCTGTTTTTCTCTTCATGTTGTTGATTCATTTCGTGGATGCAATAGCTGCATAATCTGGAGTGTGGTTGTGGGTTTTAGCTGATACAGGATCAGTCATATCAAGGCTGGTGGCCATGGTACCTTTAGAAAAAATGTTCTCTTAACACATCTCTATCTGATAGAAGTTGATCTTGCAATCTGTTTTGTATACATCTACCCTTGGAAGCAATTTTTCTCTTTTCCTTTATTACTTGCTATAATTTTCCAGGATGGGGTTGTAATAGAGCCACTGATATCAATGGTGTGATTGGCAGCTCCAGGACAACTGAACCTATTTCTAATCCAGGATTCAGCGCGATCCTTTCTAGTTGTGTGTTCTGTTCAGTAATTGAAACAGAATTCTCTCAATTAAATTACTGAAAACAAAACCAATAACAACTGAACCAGGAGTCATCTGGCGTCTGATTAGAGAGTTACTGGTTCGATATTTACTGAATAGATAACGTGTATATTTGATATTTTTCCTGTATGTTTTCGCTTTGTGCCATTTTTTTCCTATTTTCCCACTTGTGTCATTTTTACCCGCGCCATT